AACGTGTGAGGGGTGTGCCGACACGGGTTGCGCGGACGCATGTGAACCCTGCCATTGGGACCTTCGGTGGAGCCCCCAGTGGGTCCACGAAGGGTGTCAGGGGTGTGCCGAAATTGCTCGCACGGGCTCATGCGAACCCTGCCGCTGGGGCCCTTTGTGGAGGTGTGAGGGGTTTGCCGAAATGGGTGGCGCGGACGCATGCGAATCCTGACACTCAGATATGGAGAAGGTACCCCATACCTCTACCCTCCCCTCGTTTTCCCCTGTTTGGGGTCTCCGTCGTCGCCACCGCTGGATTCGATGCGAAGTCTTGGCCAGAACACCCCAGGAGATGTCCAGGGAGCAGCGGTATCGGTACCTTTTGGTTCCCCAGTCATCGGGGTTTTCGGTGGAGCACCCTATGGGGCCAGGAAGCGTGTGAGTGGTGTGCCGAAATGGGTGGCGCGGACGCGTTCGAACCCTGCCATTGGGCCTTCGGTGGGGCTGCCTATGGGACCACGAGGCGTGTGAGGGTTGTGCCGACATGGGCGGCGCGGACGCATGTAAACCCTGCCAGCGGGGGCTCCCAGTGGGGCCACGAAGCGTGTGAGGGGTATGCTGACTTGGGTTGCGCGGGCGCATGCGAACCCTGCCATTGGGTCGTTTGGCGGAGCTCCCCATCGGGCCATGGAGCGTATGAGGGGTGCGCCGACATGGGTGGCGCGGACGCATGCGAACGATGATGATGTGGATGAATGATGGCGATGATGATGATGGATGATGATGATGATGATGCTGATGATGGATGATGATGATGATGATGATGATGATGATGATGATGATGATGATGATGATGATGATGATGATGATTATGATGATGATGATGATGCTGATGATGATGATGATGATGATGATGTTGATGATGATGATGATGATGATGATGATGATGCTGATGATGGCTGATGGCTGATGATGTGGATGATGGCGATGGCGACGAGGATGACGACGGTGATGACGATGATAATGACGATGAGGATGAGGACGCGGAATGGGAGAAGAGAGGGGGCAGCGAGAGGGAGGAAGGAGTGGACGCGGGGTGCTGTCGCGTCAAAACGAGGGCCCTACACCACAGGATGGTTGGGAACAACAAAACAAGCAAGAGGAACAACGTGTCCCCCCGGTCCTGCGCATCTCTCCTCAACGTTCTCGCCTCCATCCTCTGCTGCTGCTCCTCCTCAATCATCCCCTTCCCCTGTCATCTGTCCTTCGTCTTCGTCCTCCTCGCCCTTCTGGTGTATCCTCTCATGCGCCCAACGCGGCTATCTTGGCTCTGGTCGCTGGTCGACGCAGGGCATCCCCTCCCCGCGCCGAGCCCTTGTCCTCTCCCCTCCCTCCCTCTCTTTCTCGCTATCTTTCTGCTACTATATATGCAGCATGTATACGTACTTGTATATATGGATGGGCAAACAGACATAACATAGAGAGAGAGGGAGAGAGAGAGAGAGAGAGTCGTGACCGTACAGAGTGTTATACACATATGTATAGATGTGGATGCATCTGTATACAAGGATGCAGGTATGCCAGCTCTCTCTCTCTCTCTCTCGCTCGCGCGAGCTCTCGTCCTCTCTCTCTCTCTCTCGCTACCTCTCTCTCGCTCTCTGTTTCTCTCCCTCTCTGTCTGTCTCCTCCGCTTTCTCCATCTCGACCTGTTTCACTCTTTCTCTCTTTCTTTCTCTCTCCCTCTCTCTCTCTTTCTCTCTCTCTCTCTCTCTCTCTCTTTCTCTCTCTCTCTCTCTGTCTCTCTCCCGGTTTTCCGATCCCTCCCCCTCCCTCCCTCCCTCCCTCCCTCCCTCCCTCCATCCCTTCACCTTCTTACCCTTCCCTTCCCTTCCCTCCCTCCACTGCCCCAGCACCGCGGCCTCCAGAGGGGGGGGGCCCTGGGTTGCGCGAGGCCGAGGCCGGCGGCGCCAAGAGGGGGGCTCGTCCGCCAGCTGCCGGACCCCGCCCCTGGCAACCTCCATGCCCGGGGATGGCGCGGGCGCCCCCCAATGAGCGCTGCCCGGACCCCCCCCCCCGTTTGCTCAGAGCCCCGAATCATCAGGGGTAGCTCGGGTCAGGGCTAACTCGGATTCGCTTTTCGGGATTCCGAACTCGAGTTACCCCGGGCCCGAGCTACCCCGGATAACTCGGGCGTCCAGAGCCCCGAATCATCAGGGGTAACTCGGGTCAGGGCTAACTCGGATTCGCTCTTCGGGATTCCGAACCCGAGTTACCCCGGGCCCGAGTTGCCCCGGATAACTCGGGCGTCCAGAGCCCCGAATCATCAGGGGTAACTCGGGTCAGGGCTAACTCGGGTTCGTTATTCGGGAATCCAAACCCGCGGTACCCCGGACCCGAGTTACCCCGGATAGCTCGGGCGCCCAGTTTGCGCCCCTCCCAGTTCCCCCACCCATCTCTTCTCACCCGCCTGCCCTGGCTCCACCCCTCCCTCCCCCCCCTCCTCCCCCCACCTTCCCCCTCATCCTCCATCCGCTCCCCCCCCTTCCCCCACAGGAGTTCAAGCACTGCTTCTCAGATCTGCAGGTCGGCTGCTTGCTCCGTCGGAACACCTGCGGTGCTTCAAGACGGTGCTCCTGCTGCAGCGCGGGCCTCCTTTCCGGATCGGCGCGTGGCTCCCGTCGTTCAGAGCAGAGCTCTCGCCTCAGCGCCACATGTATGGTCCAAGTCCTTCCTCGTCGTTGCCGCCCCGTTCTGTTCCCTGCCTCCGTCGTCCCCTGGTCCTCTTGCTCCTCCGGCTTTCATTTCTGACGTTGCACGGACTCTAATCGAATGGTGATCGCAGCGTTTGTCTTGCTCCGCCTACTCTGGCTCCTGCTGCTACTGTTCTTCGTCCTGCTCATTCTCATCCTCATCCTCCTCGCATCCGGCTCACGAGTGCGCGACCTGTTCTGCTCTTGCAGAGAAAAAAAGGGAGTACGGACGCTGATGCACGTGTGTGCCTTGCTTGGGATAGCATGCGAATCGAAGAAAGTATTATGTTTCGTGGCATGGAAAGGCATGTTTGGCCGCTGATTGGAGCAAAGCATTCGAATCCATGGGCCACGCAGCCAGATGGGTGACTCCCTCCGCGAAGCATCGCCGCGATCATTGTTTTATGTCGGTTTCCAGAAGACCCTATGTTTTTAAAGTGCGGTGGGGTAGATCAGGGCGCGGAGTTGTGTCGATGTATCGTGCGACCCACGATACGCAGCGTTTTCTAGAGTTGGCATCGAAGGCGGGCTGACCACGAACTGTTCCCTGAAACGGCTTTCCTCTCAGAGGCCTCTCTTGGGGGCCGATCGATGCCACACCAGCGCGTCGTGGCATCCATTATCAAAACGAAAGTCCTGCGATGATGCGCGACCCAATACACATGCGGAGGGCCAGCCTTCCATGAACCAGTGCTGGATTAGGACGCCATGGCGCACATCCTTGGAGCACCAGGCGCACCAGCGTGTCATGACATCGGTGGGCCACACCAGCGCGTCAAGACAACCGTTATCATGAGGATGTTCTTGCGACAACACATTCGTGGATGCACATGCGAACGACCGGTGTCTCATGTGTACCCATCGCTCTGCCACACCAGCGCGTCATTGCATTCATAATCATGATGACGTCCCTGCTACGACGACGCACGCATAGTGTGCAATCGTTGGGTCTGGGGCGCACAAGTCGCCAGCGTGCGTTGATAGCTCTTGCTCTGAGCAGATACCAAAGCGGTCGCGCGCTTGGTGGGGGAAGACGGCGCTTGTAGTGCAGGCGAAGTGCTGCTCGAACCACGAAGCGCAGTGTTTTCTCGCTGCGTCACCGAAAAGGAGATGTCCGCGAAATTGCCCTCATAAGAATTTCCCGTCAAACGGGCTCTTAAAGGAGCCGAACGGTCTTACACAATATCCGGGATCGGGTCTGAATGAAGACTCCATGGTGCATACTCTTTGCAGCCCAGTGTGGCTGTCATGGCACCCATCATCATGACGATGGTCCTGCGATGATAAACGAGCGAATTCACATGCGGAAGGCCAGCCTGCTATGACACCGGCGTGCCACACCAGCATGATGCTCGTCATTCCAGATGGTGTCTTGCTTCGACGGCACAAGCAAAACATACAATGGGAACGTCTGGGGCGCATAAGTTGGCAGCGTCCGTTGCTACCTTTAGCCTTGGGGAGAGGCCAAGCGGGTCGCGCACGCGTGTGCCCGGAGCTCTCCTCCTTTTCTTGCTCCTCCTCCCCCTTCTCGTACTCCTGCTTGCCCTCCTGCTCATACGCCTCACCCTCCTCCAATGCACACAGCTCCTCTTCTGCGATTGCACATATCACGATAAAAGGGGGAGTTGTTGGGGGGTTCCAGGTCCGCTGCGCCTTCGGCGGATGGAGGGACATTCAGCGCAACGGGAAGGGAAGGGATGGCGGCAAGGGGGGAGGATGGCACAGACGGCGCGAGCGCACCTCGCTTGCCTCTCCCCCTCTCTCCCTCCCGGCCCCTCTCCTCCTCCTCCTCCTCCTCCTCCTCCTCCTCCTCCTCCTCCTCCTCCTCCTCCTCCTCCTCCTCCTCCTCCTCCTCCTCCTCCCCTTCTCCTTTCGAGGGAAACCCCCGAACAATGTCTGGACGTTTGAGCCGTCTGTGGGAAGGTCGACACCCCACCACGGGCAAGCCGCTTTGACCAAAGCCGAACTTTATCGCCCAGGGACGGCCTGGGGTAGGGGAAGCTTTCAACGTCGCCGTGGTGCGTGCCTCGCAGCTGCGGAGATCAGGCTAGCATAATCCAGCATAATCCTCCTCCTCCTCCTTCTCCTCCTCCTCTTCATACTGTGTATCTCCCTATTCCTCCACCTCCTCCTCCTCGTCCTCTTCCTCCTCCTCCTCCTCCTCCTCCTCCTCCTCCTCCTCCTCCTCCTCCTCCTCCTCCTCCTCCCCTCCTCCTCCTCCTCCTCCTCCTCCTCCTCCTCCCTCCTCCTCCTCCTCCTCCTCCTCCTCCTCCTCCTCCTCCTCCTCCTCCTCCCCCTCCTCCCCCCCCTCCTCCCCCCCTTGCTCCGCCGACATGTCCTCGGACGCCACCGCCGCCCCGAAGGGCAAGCGCAGGCCAGCGGAGCCCGTCTCGGTGTCCGAGTTCACGGTGACGCTGCCCGGCGTCATGAGCGCCGAGAGGGAGGACCCAGTCGGGGGCAACGGTAGGGGGGGGATAGGCATAGGGGGGGATGCATCGACCCCCAATCGCCCATTGATCGCCGATGGGGGCCCGATAGCCCCGCCTTGCCCAGGAACGTGCGGATTCGCCATCGGGGGCCTGTCGCCGATCCATCGGCGATGTATCGCCGATTCCAGGTCGATGCATCCCCCCCTATGCCAGGCCCCACCCTCGCGTTGCCCCTCACCCAGACCTCCGACGTTCGTTTGCCGGCGCGCACCACGGGGTCGACGCGAGGGGTGATGAGCCAATGCTCCACCACCACTACCACAGGCAGGACCGGGGAGAAGGAGGGAGGGGGAGGAGGGGACGTCCTCCTCCTCCTCCTCCTCCTCCTCCTCCTCCTCCTCCTCCTCCTCCTCCTCCTCCTCCTCCCCTCCTGCCGATGGTGGCGGTGGTGGAAAATCGGCCCATCAAGGGCGGCGGCCTCCTAAGAAGGCGGGGGGCTCCTCAGAGGGCCGGGGCCTGCTCTTGGCAGGCCCTTCCTAGAAGGCCGCTCCTCCTTCCGAGAGGCGCCCGGCCTGCCTCCGAGGGCCCCCCCGGGCTTTCGTCGCGCAGAGGCCGCTCCCCCCGCGCCACCCCGCGCACGCTGCCAAGTCTGGAGCGGCGGTGAGGACGAAGGCCTCTCCGCCAGCCTGGGCATCCGACGGATGGAGAAGTCCAAGCCCGGCGTGGTTCCGTGACTTCGGCGTCCTGGGGCCCGCTTCTGTCGGGGGCGGCCAAGGGGGGGGTGATGACTGGGGCAGGGGGATACCATGGCGGGGGCCATGATATTTCCCCAGATGTCATGGCGCCTCTTCTTGTGTCGATACGTCCCTGGCCCCCCCCCCCCTGGGCCGCGCACATGCCGCCGGCCATGATTTGCGCCCCCCCTCTTGGACGCCCCCCTCTTGACCGCCCACGACTGGGCCACGGGACCATCAAAAGTAGGCATCCGGGAGGGGACGCGGCCGTGGCAGAGAGTTCTGGGGCCGCCGAGGGGGAGAAAAAACAACACCTCGTCGGATGCCTGGGATTTCGGACTTGGGGGGCCGTCTTCGGGCCCCGGGACCGTCAACGCCACTCGGGAGTGAAATCTGGCCGTGGGACCCGGGGTCGGGATTCCCAGGGGCCCCGCATTCCAGCGTCGGATCTCCGGGGAGGACCTGCGGCTGGGGGTGCACACGAAGGTGGCAGGGCCGGGCGCAGCGAGGGGGTTGGCGCGGAGAGGAAGAGGATCGAGGAACGGCGTATGTTGGGGCGTTTTTTCCCCATATCCTAAGATGGGGTTCTTGTTATGTCTTGGACGCCGCCGACTTCTCCTTCTTCTTCTTCTTCTTCTTCTTCTTCTTCGTCTTCTTCTTCTCCTCCCCGATCTCCTCCTCATTCCCAGACTTACTCATACACAGACTGACTCACACTCAGACTTACTCATGCCCAGACTTACTCGCACACGTCGTATGTTGGGGCGTTTTTTTGTTGTGCGCGGCTGCCCTGGACAGCCGCACGGACAGCTGCAGTGACCAGGGCTGGCTCCGGCACAAGCCGAAGCGCTGCACGCTCCCAGGGCGCCCCCCCCATCCCTCCCACCCTTCCTACCGCCTTTTGTGCCCGATTCGCACCGCAGCCGTAAGCAGCCACGACCGAAACTTGGGGCCAAGGCGCCGCCGATCAAAAGTGCGCGCGCACAGTTTCATTGCCTCCAGGCTCTGGGAAGCCTCCAGCGATCTATCGAGGCCTTGGAGGCTCAGTGCGCACACGAATGTTCGAGCGCCAGGCAGCGACGCGAACATAGCCTCTCGGCGCAGATCCGCGCGGAGATTTGTTGGGCCCGCGTCGGATCTGGACGGGGGTCTTCGGCGCGCCCTTGGGAGAATCGTGTGGGTAAGGCGCCCCGGCGCTGGTTTGGTAAGGCTTCGGGCTGCGCACAGACAGCCCAGGCAGCCCCGGCTGGCCTCCACAGGACCAGGGGCGGTGTCAACACCCAGGCGGTGGCGCCCCAGGGTCCTCTGAGACCGCCCTGAGCTATTCCCAGACCCCCTCGGGTAATGAAAAAATCACGACGGGAGGTTTTTCCTAATTTTCGGCCTCCGGGGGCCCTCGCCGGGCCTCGGGAGCGTGAAAAAACGACTCAGGATGCAAAACCGGTCCCGGGGAATGGGTCGAGACCTCCAGGGGTCGACGTAATGAAAAAATCATGACGTCGGGGGTCTGGGTTCGGGGGTCTTGTTGAGGCCAGCAGGGACTACCTGGGGTGGGGGGGGGGGCGTCTGCGGACAACCCGAAGCCTTGCGCTTCGGGCGTTGCTTAAGGATTCTGCCCAGGAGGCTTCAGACCTCGGAGGGTTCCTTGTCTGATGGGCACGGCGGTGATGTCCATGGCCTATGTAGCCTCAGTTGGCGTTCCACCCGCCTTCGGGCCGCGGATTCCTGATCCAAGGGTTCCTTATCCGCTGCCCTCGCCGTGCCAAGCGCCGGCCCATGGGAAGTCTGCGCGGACCTCCGAGGAGGTCCGCCCATGCCGCTGTTACTTCTGGGATGGCAGGGCACGGGGCCGCGCGCGGCCAGCCCCAAGAGGCCCTTCCGGCTGGCCTCGGCAGGGGCTCCCCTGCAAAGGGTCCGCGGGCGGCCTCGCCGCTCTGCACCCCCCCGGCCGGGCCCGTGTGCCTCCGGGGGCTGCTGCTGCGCACCCCCGCGCCCTGCCCTGCCGCGCGGAGGCGGTGGAAGGCGAGGGCCTGCGCATCACGTGCCTGAAGAAGAGTGGGCGGCTCATCGGGTGGAACAGGCTGCAGAACACGCCGCCCGAGCAGGTCCAGGTCGGGGACATGCTGGTCTCCGTGAACGGCAAGAGGAGCCTCATCAATGTGATGGTCTCGGTCCTGGAGCAGCCGCAGGGGCGGGGTGACAACCTGCAGCTGGTGTTCCAGCGCCCAGTCTATCCCGAGAGGCTCAAGAACATCCTGGTGATCGGCGGGTACGACGGCCTGTCCTACTACGGAGAGACCGAGCTCTGGGACGAGGACGGCCACGGCTTCGAGGACGGGCCCAGGCTGCGCGTGCATCGCTGGGGGGCGGCGGCGCTGCCCATCCCAGGCCACAGCCTGGTGCTCGTCGCCGGGGGGTTCGACGGCTCCGAGCACCAGGCCACCACCGAAGTGCTGAACACAAAGTGCACGAACTCGGCCATGCAGGCCGAGGACCACGGCTTCCAGATGGGGCCCCGGATGCTCGCGCCGCGCCTGGGCTGCAGCATGGTGCAGCTGGACGCGCGGCGGGTGCTCGTCATAGGAGGCTACGGGCTGGACAGCACGGAGGTCCTGGACCTGGAGACCATGGAGTTCCAGCCCGGCCCGCGGCTGCTTGCGCCCAGGGCCTGCTGCGCGGCCGTGGTGCTGGAGGACGGGCGGCTGCTGGTGGCCGGTGGGTTTGACCGCGTCGGCACCACCAGCAGCACGGAGGTCCTGGACCTCGGGGCGGAGGGCTCTCTCACGGACTCGGCGGGCTTCCCGCGGGGGGGGCTGGAGCTGCTCAGGTCTTGACGCGCAACTCCTAGGAGGCCAAACTCAGCATCTGCGCCGGCAGATCCGTTGTGAAAAACTTGCCAAATCCGGCAAACTCCCGCCTGATCCCGCTCGATCCAGCTTCATCCTGGGCGCAAGCCAGCATGATCTGGCTTCGTGACTGCCTGCATCTCTGTCATAGCGTGGTAGCCCGAAACTCAGACATGCGATGTCTTGCTTTTTCGAAACTGCCGTTTCACCAGGGTTCATGTCTTTGGTCATTAGCGACTCGGCATTTGAAGGTCCTGGGGTACGGCGGGGGCCCCTCCAAAGGCACAAAACGGCCCAAGACCTCCCGTCATGATTTCACGACACGAGCATGCCTGGTGGCCGTGCTTACGAAGACCCCTTGAGAGTTGCCTCCCAAGGTTCCAGCCTGGCCCTGAGATGGCCACTCGCCGCGCCGGGTGCGCGGCCTCCCAGCTGGACAGGCGGCGAGTCCTCGTCCTCGGCGGCACCGACGGCGGCGCCGAGCTGTCATCGACGGAGCTACTGCTCGTGGAAAAGATGGAATTCCGGCCAGGGCCTGCGATGGCGTTTCCGCGCTGCGGCGCCTGCGTGGCGCCACGGCTCAGGGGGAAGCTGCTGGTGGCAGGAGTCGGGCGTTTCGCAATGGAGGGGCGGTAGATGGGGGGGGAATCGAGATAGGCAGAGGGGGCGGGCTTCCATTCGAGGGGCGAATACTATGCGTAAGCAGTTAGCGTCTCGGAGGGCCCCCTAGCGGCGCCTCCGGCGCCGGCGCGCTCCGCGCGCCAGGGAGGGGGTCCAGCGCAGATGTCAGAACTCCCCGCCGACCTCAGAGAAATTATGTTCATGCCGATGTTCATCTCTCTACTCAGAGGGCTTGCTGCCCTCTGAGAAGCTTTCTCGGCCTTCTCCAGAGCCATAGAGGGCTTCTCAGAAGGCTTGAGGGTCCACGAGAGATACACGTTCCTCCACCCCCTTGTTCCTTGCTCGCCCATTCATCAACGCCCCAAGGAGGCAGGGGCCGCAAGGGTCACAGCTCCACCGAGGTGCTCGACATTGGGGCGATGGCGTTCAGGCAGGGCCCCGAGATGCGGTGTTCGCGCGCGTTCGGAGCTGCGGTCGCTTACGCGTCCTACGACCCCGAGTCCGATTCGGACTCGAACTGAGCCGCCACATCGCCTCTGCCGGTGTCCTCATTGCCGTCGTTCTCGTGTTTTCGTCGTCGTAGTCCCACTCTTCCTTCCAGCACCCTGCCCAGACCCCCTCGCGTTGCCAACAAACATCACGACGGGAAGTTTTTCACCATTCTCGGCCTCTGGAGGTCCTTACTGGTCCTCTGGACGTCAAAAAACGACTCAGGATGAAAAACCGGTCCCGGGGAAGGGGGTCCAGACCTCTGGGGCATCGACGTTGCGAAAAGATCACGACGTCGGGGGTCTGGGTGTCCTCCCGTTCCGTTGAAAGGGGGGGGGGGAGAATGTCATCCTGGAAGCCAGACCTCTTCCTCAAGCAGTTCTCTTCTTTGATGCGCGCTGGTGCAAGGATCACCTTGGGCTGAGGATGGGCTCTGGTTTTCGGACCGTTCCTGAGATCCCCGTGGGGGAACAGTCAGGAGGGGAGGAAACACACAGACACAATTAATCGTCGCCTCCCAGGAAAATATAGGAAATATGGAAAGTGGGGGGGAAGACAAAAACCCAGAAAATATGGGAAAATATGGGGAATCATGTTATTTGTATGTATTTATGTGTGGCCTCTTGGCACGTTTTGGGGGTCTCTTGGCGGTCCTTGGGGGCTCCTGGGCGTCTTGGGTGCAACGGGGGGGGGGCCTCTTGGGGCCGCTTGGGGTCCTCTTGGGATCTTTCTTGGGGCCATCTTGGGGCCACCTTGAGGCTATTGTGGCCTCCTGGGCGGTTCTTGGGGCCATCTTGGAGGACATCGATCAAAGAAGAGGGGAGCTTCAATTTGCGCCCCCCCCCCACCCACCCCCCAAGAGGCCAACATGGGGCAGGGGCCAAAACAGTCGTACATCCAATGATGTTGGCTTCCTCGCCGAGGCCGTTTTGGATGCCCTGACCGCTCGCGACAGGCCCCGCCCAGGTCCAGGGGAGGGAGTGTGGGGTGGGGTCAAGACACCTTCCCCGCACGCAGGCCGTCTAGCTCACTCCCGCCAGCCCTCCCGCCACATAAGTGGCATCCGAGTCTCGGCATAGCCAGGGGTCGCCACTGGATGGACAGCCACTGGGAACTACAGCGGACGCCAGGTGCGCGACGCTCGCCGCGGGCTTCACATGCGGTTGGTGTGCCATCCTTGCTAAACATGTGATGCCCCCCCCCGTCCGCATGGTCCAGATGCTGATGTGGGGGGCGTCAGCATTGTTCTGGGCCTGCGCAAAGCAAGCATCAACATGCAGGCACCACCGCCGTCCCTGTTAAAAACAATACAAAGTGATCGCGGGTGGCCATCACAATACCCACGACGTTGTCGCAACGTGTATTTTGCATTGTTTTTGACACGGATGGTGGTCTTGCGCAAACCGGTTCCACTAAGGATGCCCCGCCATCTTGGTCAACAAAACAATACGACATGCTCACAGGGCGCCAGCGCACTGTCCAGATTTTGCTGCAATGTGCACTTCGTATTATTTGTTGACAGGGATTGTGAAAAGGGTGTTGGCAGGGTGGACCCCGCAATGTGCACTTCGTATTGTTTTCTGACAGGGATTGGAGGGGGGGGCCCTCATGGTGTGGGCATGGTTCCGGATTGGCTGCCGGCCGGGTGGGGAAGGGGGTGTTTATTAATAGGGAACAGCGATATTTTTTTCCCCGAAGGGGGTTGGAAGAGGAGCCGCCCTAGACCACCCACTCCCAGAGGGCTGGTGGGATTATTTCTGGGATGAGGTCCTTGGCTACGATGGGAGCAACATAGCCCTCCGCAGGTGTCCCCCTCCGCTCCCCCCCTCCCCTGGGCCTCCCGCTGCGCCGAGCGGGCGGGCGCGAAACCGCGAGCGCCCGAGGCGCGCGGTGGAGAAACACGGGCCAGCGCCTCGGTTGCCTGCGCCTCCCAGGGGCAGCGTTAGGGTGGAGTCGGGCCTGTCCCTCTACAGGGGGAATGTCCAAAGATAGTTTTAAAGATAGTCTGGGGACGATTTGCCGGCCAGTTCTGAGCATTGTTGGTGTAATTATTCTTCTAGTATGTTATATTTTCCGTCCAAGTTCCCCCTGTAGGGGGGCAGGCCCGACCTAACGTTAGGGGGGGAGTGGGCCCACCGGGGGGCGCATCGAATCCCCAATCACCCATTGATCGCCGAGACAGGAGCCCGATAGCCCACCCCATCCAGGAACGTGCGGATTCGCTCTCGGGGGGCCCCTCGCCGATCTGGCGGCGATGCATCCTCGCACTTCAAGCTCGATGTTTCCCCCCCGAGCCGGTCCTCCCTAACGTTCCCCCTCGGACTCTGCTTCCTCGCCTTGATTCTGCTTCTGATCCTGCCCCTCATTCGAAGCGCGGACTCCTCGCACTTCAAGCTCGATGCTCCCCCCCGAGCCGGTCCTCCCTAACGTTCCCCCTCGGACTCTGTTTCCTCGCCCTGGTCCTGCTTCTGATCCTGCCCCTCATTCGAAGCGCGGGCTCCTCGCACTTCTCCTCCGCCTGCGCCCTCCTCCCCCTTCTCTTCCCTCTTCTCCTCCCTCTTCTCCTCCCTCTTCTCCTCCCTCTTCTCCTCCCTCCTATTCCTCGCATCCTCCTCTCCTCCCCTTCCTCCCCCCCTCATCGTCCCTGTTTCCGTCCTGCCCATGATGCTCCTCCTCCTCCCTTTCCTGCCTTATCTTCCAGCTCGCTTTCCGTCTCCTCTCCTGCTCCCTTCCTCCCTGAGATCCCCATCCTCCCTTCTTCGTCGTGCGACGGAGCTCGGTCAGGCTCTTCTGCCAGGCGCCCGACGGAGGGACTTGGCAGGACCCATGGGCCACTTGACGCCGCGCGCCGCCCACCCCCGTGGAGCAGGGCGCTCACGGGGGCCCGGGGGAACTGGGGGAGTGGCGCCTCCGACAGCGCCTGGAAGAATTGAGCTGTGACATCTCCGCCGGCCGATCACTGGTTCAGCCCCAGAGTATGGCGGATCCGAAGCCGGGGGTCGCGGCGCCCCCCTCGCCCCTGAACCTTCCAGGAGGGCTTAACATAAGCAGCACCAGGACATCGACAGGTAAATTCTTGCCGAGGTTTCAGGCAGTCCAGATCGGCCTCTATGGGCCTGAAGGTCTTATACCTCCAGCAGGTCAGGGGCGCCCCCACCCCCCCAGACCCCCGACGTCGTGGTTTTTCTTCGCAACGTCGACCCCCAGAGGTCGGGACCCCTTCCCAGTGACAGGCCTTTCATCCCGAGTCGTTTTGTGACGGTCCCGAGGCCCTGTAAGGGCCCCCGGAGGCCGAACGTACAGGACATTTTGCGTCGTGATTTAGGAGGAGGAGGAGGAGGAGGAGGAGGAGGAGGAGCAGGAGCAGGGAGGAGGAGGAGGAGGAGGGAGGAGGAGGAGCAGGAAGAGGAGAGGAGGAGGAGGAGGAGGGAGGGAGGAGGAGGGGAGGAGGGGAGGGGAGGAGGAGGAGGAGGAGGAGGAGGAGGAGGAGGAGAGGAGGAGGGAGGAGGAGGACGAGGAGCCTGGAGCGAGCTCGGGCAGCCGCTCCGGCCCAGCCCGCGGGCCCGGGCCTGCGGGCCTCCGCCGCATGCCGCTGCTGGGCCTCGCCCGCGGCGCCGCGCGGCGGCTCCCGCCGCTGCCCCCCGGCGGGCGCGGCTGCTGGCCGGCGGCCCCGCGGCCAGCGGGCCCGCGGCCAGCGGCTGGCCGGCGGCGCGGCCGCCCGCGGCCCGCGCCCCGGCGGGGTGGGCCGGCGGCTCCAGGGCTGCGGCGGGCGCCAGCGGCGATCCGGGGCAGCGTGAGGAGGGGAGCTCCAGACAAGGCGAGCCCTCTCCTCCTCCTCCTCCTCCTCCTCCTCCTCCTCCTCCTCCTCCTCCTCCTCCTCCTCCTCTCGTCCTCGTCCTCGTCCTCCCCTCCTCCTCCTCCTCCTCCTCCTCCTCCTCCTCTTCCTCCTCCTCCTCCCCCTCCTCCTCCTCCTCCTCCGCGGTGATCAGGGGCAGCGTTAAGTCGGGCCTGTCCTTCAACAGGAGGAATATTCCCCAATAGTATGAAATAGTCTGGGGACGACGTTTCGACTATGTTTTCATTATTTGCGAGTTTGTTTTCGGTATGATTCATTTTTCGTCCAGAATCCGCCTGCAGGAGGACACGCCCGGCCTAAGTGCAGCGTGAGGAGGGGAGCCCCAGACAAGGCGAGCGTGGAAGGCACTTGAAAATATCGAGAAGGGCCCTGCGGCCACCCAGAAATCATAGTCCATCCAGTCCAAAAGGATGAGAGAACGGAGCAGCTGCAGACGAATCCTGTAAGGATTTTGACCAGCTCGGGGCAAGCGGCCAGACAAATTCGCCGACCCTTCGGCGTGTGTGAAGGGAAGTCCCAGACCCCCTCGCGTTGTGAACAAAAATGCAACGGGAGGTTTGTCGCTAGTTTCGGCTACGGGGGGACCTTTGCCGGGTCCCGGGACCGTCGAACAACGGCTCAGGATGAAAACTGGTCTGGGGGAAGGGGCAGCGTGAGGAGGGGACCCAGAGATCCGACGCTCCAACAAAAATGTAGCGGGCGGCTTTTGGCCGTGTTCGACCTCTGGAGGCTCTCCCTGGGCCTCAGGACCGCCAACACACGGCTCCAGACGAACAGCCGGCCCTGCGGGGAAGCAGCCCGGACCTCCGGAGCCCATGCATCGAAACAGCGTGGAGCAGCCGGAGGTCTGGGAAGTGGCTGGCAGGTTCGGTAAAACAGGGCTGGGATCGGGATAAAAAATCGCTCCAGAGCGTTCCGGAGCGCTCTCAGAGCGTTCCGGAACGCTCTGGAGCGGCCGCGGCGCCCAAGACATCCTCCAAACCTGCCGATTCGCATAGATTTCGAGTTATCCCGATCCGATTTTGCCCCGATCTTCGCGTCGTTGTATTCGGGCGTCTTCCGGCGTTTCCGTTGCCCTCGGCGGCTTGCGCCCAGCCTCGGCGGTTTGCGCTCGGGCGGCTCCTCCTCCTCCTCCTCCTCCTCCTCCTCCTCCTCCTCCTCCTCCTCCTCCTCCTCCTCCTCCTCCTCCTCCTCCTCCTCCTCCTCCTCCTCCTCCTCCTAGGTTGGGGCGTCTTCCAGCGTTCTCGTTGCCCTCGGCGGCTTTTGGCCCAGCCTCGGCGGCTTGCGCTCGGGCGGCTGCGCCTCGCCCGGAGAGGCGTCCGAGGTGTGCCCAGGTCGCCCCGAGCGGCCACCGGAGGCCCGAGTTGGAGGCTTCCTCCGAAGGGCGTAGGCGACCAGTCCTCCTCCTCCTCCTCCTCCTCCTCCTCCTCCTCCTCCTCCTCCCCTCCTCCTCCTCCTCCTCCTCCTCTCCTCCTCCTCCTCCTCCTCCTCCTCCTCCTCCACCCACCTCCTCCTCCTCCTCCTCCTCCTCCTCCTGGGTCGCCTGCGGCCCCGGGGGGGAGCCCGTGCAGCCCGAGAGCTCACATGGCCCGAAAGCCGCAGGGAGCGGGGCTTGGACTCGGGGCCTGACGGCCCCGCCCGCCCAGGAGCGCGCGGCCTCGCTACTCATCGGCGGCCTGCCACCGATCTATCGGCGGTGATCTATCGGCGACGCATCGCGAATCCCCCCCGTGGAGATCGATCGGCGCTGATCTATCATCGGCGGTAATTCATCGGCGGCGATCACCGATCTATCGGCGGTGATTTATCGGCGATGATTCATGGTCGTCGCATCGCGACGCATGGCCTGTCACCGATCTATCGTTAAGTCGGGCATGTCCCTCTACAGGAGGGAGATAGTAAGAATAGTTGGGACGATTTTTCTATTACTTGTTTGATTACTTTCCGAGTATTGTTTGGACTATTTTGTTTCGTCCAAGACCAGCCTGTAGGAGGACATGCCCGACCTAAGCCAGTCACCGATCTATCGGCGGTGATCTATCGGCGATGTATCTCCGATTCGAGCTCGATGTTTCCCCGCGAGCCAAGTCATAGGGGCGGCCAAGAGGGGGGTGATGACTAGGGGGGGGATCTAATGGCGGGTGCCATGATCTCTCCCCAGATTTCATGTCGCCCCCTCTTATTTCATTACGTCCCTGGCCCCCCCCTGGGCCGCGCACATGCCGCCGGTCATGATTTGCAGCCCCCCCTCTTGGACGCTCTCCTCTTGGACGCCCCCGAGCGTCCCCCCTGCCGTTCCCCCCAGGCGACGGAGAAGGCGGAGCGCTCATCTCGGAGGGCTCGGGGGCGCGGCAGGCAGCACACGGCTCTCTCTGTTGGTGCTTCGCACAGGCCCGGATGTCCAGAGCCCCGAATCATCAGGGGTAACTCGGGTCAGGGCTAACTCGGGTTCGCTTTTCGGGAACCCAAACCCGAGTTACCCCGGACCCGAGTTACCCCGGATATTTCGGGCGTCCAGAGCCCCGAATCATCAGGGGTAACTCGGGTCAGGGCTAACTCGGGTTCGTTTTTCGGGAACCCAAGCCCGAGTTATCCCGGACCCGAGCTGCCCCGGATAGCTCGGGCGTCCAAGTGATATCCGAGGTGTTGTGTCTGTGGTGGGCGCTGCTCCGCGACCTCGGCCCCTTCCCAGACCCCCGACGTCATGATTTTTTCATTACGTCGACCCCTGGAGGTCTCGACCCCTTCCCCGGGACCGGTTTTGCATCCTGGGTCGTTTTTTGACGCTCCCGAGGGCCGGTAAGGGCCCCCAGAGGCCGAAAATTACGAAAAACCTCCCGTCGTGATTTTTTCATTACCCGAGGGGGTCTGGGTTTGGGGGTCGGGAAAGCTGGGGCCGCGCCTGGAACAACATGCGGTCGGCGGGGGTCGGGGGCGCTCGCGGGTCGGCGCCGGGTCCTCCCGGGCTCTCCGAGGGGCGCAGCGTAAGTGCCATCCAGGGTGGTTCTTCGACGGTCTGGGGTTAAGTCGGGCGT